CTGCGAGATGGCAGATGGGGACAGAGGCACGGGCACAGGGTCAGGGGGCTCAGGGACACGCGGGGACTGAGGACAGGGACACGCAGGGACAGAAAACAGGGAAATGCGGGTTCTGCCTGTGCCTCTCCAGCCCCTCTCCGGCCAGCGAGTGCTTGAGGCAGAGCAGGACACCCCATATCGCCCTCAATGACCCCATAACCCCCATGCAACCCCCTCAATGACCCCCCCGGGCCCCCCCAGCCCCTCACCGGCACTGTTGGCCTCGGCCTCGCGCCGGTGGATGTCGGGGCAGTCCTGCAGGGAGTGCTCGAGGCAGAGCTGCAGGAACCGGGCCTGTGTCCTCGTGACCCGTTTGAGCAGCGCCAGCAGAGCCACCGTCTGCTCGCACTCGCTCCAGCCCCGGAACCACCCGGCCACGATCCCCACCTGGTCCCGGAACATCATGGCTGGGGGGGCGCTGGGGGGGCCCTGCCCCCCCTCAGGTGCCGGGGGGGCCCCCCCGGGCCGGACAGCGCATGGGGGGCTGTGCGGGGGGGTCCCGAGGGCCCCCCGGCTGCGATGGTGCCGCGGGACCACCCCGGAGGAGCCTGCGGGGAGAGGGCACACGGGGGCGTTAGGGGTGGGGGTGTGGGGTCTGGGACCCCCCCACGGGGAAGAGGGACCCCCCGACAGGACCAGGGACCCCCAAAAGGTTCCTCCCTCGAGGGGGACAAGGACACCCCACCAAGGACAGGGACCACCCCCCTCCAAACCAGGGACCCCCCAAAGGGGACAGAGATCCCCCCACTGGAAACAGAGACCCCCCACGAGGGACCAGGGACTCCCCCCGGTGGGGACAGACACGCCCGAGTGGGGACAGGGACCCTCCCCACGACCCCCTCCCAGGCACAGGGACCCCCCAGGGTGGGCACGGGAACCCCCCAACAGGGACCAGAGATCCCCCCCCAGGGACCGGGGACCCCCGTGAGGAACCAGGGACGCCGCAGGACCCCCCCTGTGCACCGGGACCCCCCACACCCCCTCAGCACGCCCGTACTCCCTCTCCTCCTCCGTCCCCCCACCGTTTTCCCCCGGGACCCCCAAACCCCCGGCCGCGGATGGGGGGGGGAGGGCGGGGGGCGCAGGCCCGGCGGGGCCGGGGCCGGCCTGGGGCGCTGTAGCGGTGTCGAGGGTGTCCCGGGGATGCTCCGGGGGTGTCCCAGGGTGTCTCGGGGGGGTTTGGGGGTTCCCGGGGGGTTCCGGGGGGTCCCGGGGGTCGCGGCCGCCCCTCACTCACCGCCCGCCGCCGCCGCGCAACGTCAGCGCGCACGGCACGCACGGCACGCACGGCGCGGCGTGGCTGCGTCACCTCCCGCGCGGCCAATGGGGGAGCGCGGAGCGGGCGCGGGGACAGCGCGAGCGCAACCACGCCCCCGCCGGAGTTCGACCAATGGGAGCCTCAAGACGCGGCGCTGACCACGCCCCCTCTCTGTCGATCAGGAGGCCGCGCTCACAGCTGCATTAGGCCACGCCCTCCCGCTGGCCACGCCTCCACGGTCGCGCGGGGCTTCAAGGGGTGGGGCCTGGCGGGGGCGTGGCTCGAAGGGGCGTGGTCGGGGCCCAGGGACCTCCCCAGTGTGTCCCAGTGTCCTCCCAGTTTGTCCCAGTGACCCCCATTATACCCCAGAGTCCCTCCAGCGTGTCCCGAGTGTGTCCCAGTGCCCCTCAGGTGTGTCCCATGTCCCCCCAGTGTCCCCCATTATATCCCAGTGCCCCTCCGGTGTCCCCCCAGTTCCCCCAGTGTGTCCCAGTGCCCCTCTGGAGATGGAGGGACAGACAGAGCACGGAGGGCAGATCCTGGCCCATTCGTGTGTCCGTGTGTCTGTCCGTGGTGTTCGTGTCTGTGCATCTGTGTCTGTGTGTCCCTGG